GGTCAGAGCTGTGAGGGTCAGATCTCTGAGGGTCAGAGCTGTGAGGGTCAGATCTCTGAGGGTCAGAGCTGTGAGGGTCAGATCTCTGAGGGTCAGAGCTGTGAGGGTCAGATCTGTGAGGCACATTTTCACATCAAGTTTGGGTTTTATAAATCACAACCTTGGTGTGAGAAGTGGCGTACACAAGTTTCTAGGCTTGTTTTGTGCGTATGCAAGCTTTATAAATCCAACCCCTGAACTTTTTTATTCCTGATCTAAAATACTGATCTTGTGAGCAGCTGCAGCGCAGGTTTTTTTTCTTGTCAGGCTGTCGGACCACTCCAGCTCTGCTGTCCGGGGTGTGTGGTCTGGGTCAGACAGAGCTCAGCCGAGGCTGCTGGAGCTTCATGTCCAATGATCCAGGGAGACAACACGAGTCAGTCCCRGACTGAGCTGACTTGTTCATTTTAAATGAAATATGTCATGAATCATTGTGTGTGTCATGAARCTTTACTTTTTACAAAACAGAAGTTGTTTAGAACCATCAGAAATGTTAGCTTGTTAAATTAAGCTAGCTGTCACGTTCTCTAAGAAAAACCCTCTAAACTGCGTTCTAAGGGTTGGTCACCTTTTTACACGAACATAAAACTGTTCTAGTTTTTAGTCTTTGATCTGAACTTTATCTGAGATTGTATTTGAAAATTGGGTCTTTACATTATTGTTTTTCTGAGAWATCTAGATGATCTACAAATCTAAACTACAAGCTGCCCTGCGTTGTGTCTTCATGGTGAGTCTCCACCAGGAGTTGAGTCTTTGTTAGGGTGAGCAGGTCCTGAGAAAATGAATGTGGGACAAAAATGATGCTAATGAGGAACGATGTGGGACACCTCACCTCTTTACCAGGCTTTGTTGTAGCTGCATGTTTCTTTGCCATATTTCTCTTTTTATTCATCCATCGATCATCGTTTTCATTTATTTTGACTTTTCAAAACATGATCCAGTCAAGTGTAGGACAGAGTTTTAACTTGTGGTGCAAAAGGACGAGAGTGAAAATCCAGGACAGTTCAGCACAATCTGGGACATCTGGTCACCGTACTTCTGGTTGTGAAAAACATCAAACAAGTCAGAGCTGTACACTTGTTTTCATATTCAACTGAATCCCACCTGACAGCCTCGGAAACTAGATTAGATTAATCACCTTTTCTGATACTTTTACAATAGACTAATCCCACCACACACACACACACACACACACACACACACACACACACACACACACACACACACACAC